TGTTGCAAGTCATACCAGGAATAGTAGGCAGTTGGATAAAGGGGCGTACTTTGTGTCTTGCCAGGAATAGTTGCTGGTAAACTTTTGGGTCCAGCTGGTGGCAATGTAGGAATACTTCCTGCTGCGGAAAACATTGTGGGAAATAACGTTGAAGGTATATTAGCTAATATCGACGGTACTGCTTTAGTTGAAATTGCCGCTGGGGCTATAGAAGACATATTGGGTGCTATATGAGGTTTTTCTGTAATGTGATTTTTCAAATGTTTTCGATTGAAGACACTGTACGCGACTCGAACTATAATAATTATTATTTACTAAGCAGCATTTGATATTCAGAAAAATGCACTGAACTAGATGTGGGTATTTTTCCTGTAGAAGGTTGTGAATTTTTCTCTGTTACACTTTTTTCTTATCTGAAGAAAGACTTGCGAAATAAATATAATTTTATATTGAAATATTAAAATGAGTAACGACATCAAAATAATTATGATGAAATTCAAGGTTTTTGAGTATTTTATTAATGTCAGTAGTCGGAAAACTGTAGTTCAGTTATTGAAAACAGAAATATGGACGAAAGTGATGAATAAAGTTCCAAATATTAGTGAAATAGTGTCAAGTAGAAAATTTCCACGATAGTTCGACTTCTGATCACATCATTTGATCTGAAAACAATTTAATCTTCACGTCTAATTGTAAAGAAAGAAACCTTTTATCTATCAAATTGTTTCATACTTTCATTTCTATATTTGTTGTCTTCTGTGGCGAAGCCTATGGCATCATAAATTGTAATACAAAAATTAATTGCCATTTTCTAATGTGTCCGACAAAAAGATTAATTACAAAACTGCTTCAATTTTCAAAAGAATCGTACTATTAGGACTGATTTTATTAGAAATCACTTATAGAACTTTTCTGATTGTCAATCTCTTAACAATAAAAGATAATTAGTAATCAATCAACATTTAGTGTATGTTTTATCATTGATTTACACTCGTTCGTTGTAAACGGAATAGTTCAAAATAGCGATATATGAGTTACGTAAAGCTGTTTTTCCAGCAGTGGTAATGCTGTGATTTCAAATAGAATTCATAAGAGATTTTGTACCGAGTTAAAGAGCGTTTAAAAGTAGGATTCATGATAATCCAGTAGCAGTCGAAAATCGTTGGGAGGACTGCGCGAATACAAGTATAAACTGTACTCTGCGAAGAATACGGGCTCCCAACTTAGAATTTGAGAATTTGTATAGAAATGTACTGTCATGTATCGCCATGTACTCGGTCAAAAAAAAAAACGAGAATTCGAGATTTTGCACTCATGTACAGTGATGATGAGTGGTACTGTCCGTGCTCGGTTAGTGCGGCTCTTCTGTGAAAGCACACCCACACCCACACCCAAATTTAACAAGTGTGCTCTTTACGCACCAAATTAAGAAAATTTTCACTTGAAGAGAAGTTACATACATTGGGCGTGAGATAAGAGAAGACTTACACTTGCATCCACTCCAAAATATGTCTACTGCTACTTTTAGTATGCCTTGTGTATTCATCAGATTTTTATGAAAACTTCATAGTCAAACGCAATATTTTATTACATAGCGAAATTTATTTATCGTTTATTAATTGACTATTTACAACTTCTTACTTATTGTAAATAAAGAAACTATTGATACAATAAAGTAGTGCACATACAATGTGAAAATAGTTTTTCTTTGTCTGCTTTTAAATTAAAAGTTTCGAAATGAATGAAAATCATTTTGATCAATATTAATTGTTGGTACTGAATCGTTTGATTGTTTTATAAAAGATGTTTGATACACATAACTCATGTTAGCTATTTGATCACGTTTATTAGTCCATTCAACAAGAAATATAATTTGTTTTTGATGTGGTGGAATACAATCATGAGTTATATATGATTGACGAGAATTACGTATATACACTGAATCACTCATATCAATATCTATATTTAAATAATAATTAGATGATAAATTTTCTGCAATAAACATAATAAAACTACATTGTCCTGAAGTTGCATAATAATTAAAATCGTTATGCTAAAAGAAAATAAATGAAAAATAAAAATAAATCATAATAATTTTTTTCAAAAATATAATTAACTTACTTTATTTTTAATATAACTTTCTTGTGGAACAGTTGCAATTAAACAATCAGCTAAAAGTGTTGCTGGTTCATTAATAACATATACATCAATTTGAATTTTTGAATGTATAACAAGTGTATAATCTCTAATAGATTCATGATTTTTTTCATCCCAAAAACTAGTAGAAAATGGAATAAGTACATAAGTACCAGGACTTAATGAACCTGTCCAATGTGTAAATGATCCACGATGTGTTTGTAATATAGCAACTTTTGTACCAATATATGTGGATACTCCATCTTTAACATCACATAAAACAAATGATTGTGTATGACGATCATCAGAGCGACGTTTTTCACGATGATAAAGTAGACTAATATCCACTATTGATGTTCTAAAAAACGAAAATAATCAAAGAAATTGCTGTAGTACTTTAAATTATGATGATAAACAAGATTGGAAACATTCAACGTGGCTGATAAGAACAAAAGAAAAAATCTATGTGAGTAAAAGCACATGAAAGAAACGAGAGGTAAAAGTAAACGCGTTGTGAAAGAAAAATATACTGGGATGAAAACAATACAGAGTGAAACTTGGTCATTCCGCGACAGTAACTGACGGTAATATGTAATGACTAATCTGGAAAATATCTACTATCATTATGTTTACTGGATCTGTTTTTTTTAATTTCGAAAATAAACTTGTTTTAGACAATAATATATGAAAGATTTAATGGAATGTATCATGAAATTTTACATATCTTATGATACAACTGAGTTGTATACATATGAGATTATGCAAAATCCAGTAAGCTTTTTGTTTTGAAACTTCATTTAATCGAAGTCTCTTATGATACCATTCAAATATTTAAGTATTAAGTTTCGTTGTGATATACAATCTCTATCAAATTTTAAATGACTCTAATTTCAATCGTATATTAATAATAAATCTTACTTAGATACATGAAAATGAAATGTTGGAATTGGTTCTATTGATGATTGAGTAAATTTAGCTACTTCACGTATATCATAATAATCACTAGCATATGATGATATTGTAATAGATTCAAAAAATTGAAGAAATACAGGCCATGATATCCAAAATGCACCAGATGGTAAATGAAATGAAATCATAGAATTCAATTGAGTAAGAATAGATGATGTTATAATATCTTCTTTATAATCTACTCGAGCATGTGGATCTCGAACAAGTACAAATTGCATAGAAATTTCTGATAGAAAATATGCAGCAAGTATTGAAAATGCATGATTTCTATTAATATGTACACGTTCATATTCTTCTTCATTGACATCTGTACGACCAGTTGCTGCACCGATTAATAAACTAAAATAAATTGTTTTTTTTTTTTAAAAGCAACAGATTCATTTTAGACATATTTAACTTACCGAGCTTCACAAGCGGATAAAAGTTTTGCCCAAGCAATTTGACTATCAAGTATACAATCATGTGGATTAAGATTGATACGAATACTTGGAGCACCAGTTAATAATTGTAGACCTTCTTCGGTATGTCCACCAATTAAATCTGCATATGAACCAAATAATTTAGCACATGCTTTTTCAATTAATGGAACATATAATTGACGACCACTTGCTTTTGAATATGCTAGTTGATTGTCTTTTGCACATGGAAAACAATCATCAATTATAATTGTTTTCCATAAACCATGATGACATAAACGTATGAGATAAACACCTTGTTCATTAACTGTTTTAGTTAATACAATATGTTGAAGCATTTTAGGTCGTTCAGTAATTAAAGCTAAAGCAGCCAATAGCCAACAATCACCAAGTAGACCTTGTTGAATATCACTTGGTTCTGGTGATGAATAAACAGTCCAATCTAAAAGATGATCTCCTTTTGATGACGAAGCTATATCAGATATTCTTAACCATTGAAATGAATGATCAATATTACCAATTGAACGAGATGATGGAGGAAATTGATCATCAACAAAATGTATTTTAGTCTATAGAAAATAAATATTAAACAAATAAAATAAATAATAGATTAAAATTACTTTTTGACAAAATGATTTAATATGATGAAAAATTTTTTCAGCATTACTTTCATCATTATTTCGTCGATCACGAACATTAAGTGAAATTGATGTTGTTGATGATTTAGATGTATTAATCAGACTCTTAATAAAAATAAAAATCAATTGATATTTTATTTTTAAATAATAATTATATTACCGATGAATCATTCATAAAGTTATATTTAGCTAATGAAGAATCTGATTGACCACATATTTTACATCTGGGATACTTTGAAACTGGATTAAGATACGTACAAAATCGGCATGACCAGTTATTTGCCTTTGAAGATTTATTATTATCAAACTTGGTAACACTCATTATAGCTCTATTAAATCTAAGGTATTGTAATGTAAAAAGTATCGATGTATATTTGTGTACCGTGATGTCATAGCAAATAAATATCTTTTTACGAAAGAAGAAAAAAAAAAAGGAAAGGTAAAAACCGTAATCACATTATTATTCATTACATTTTGTCCTTATATAAAAGCGTAGGAAAATACCATGAATCATCTTTCTTTGTATTGATGTAACTTAGAACAATCATTTCTAGTTTATATGATTCAATTTTTTTTTTCGGGAACTATTTTTTAATCTTTCTATAAATTCTATTATATGTTTTATTAGCAAATTAATCCTTTATTAAATATTGAAAAAGTATTTATCGATTAATAAGTAAAACTTTTGAAATCTAGCAATATCATAGTTTCTAGTTTAAAAAGAAAAGATATTCAAAATTTTTGATTATCATGCTATTTTATCTATAAACTTAATACAATAATTCACTATTCAAATTTATCTTTGTTCACTGAAAACTAACAAAAAAAAAATCAAAGTTTCTTAGAATTCAGTTGAACTTCCATTAGAATATTGTTTCTTCAAATTTGTTTGATCATTATTAACACTAGATTCAACATTAGTATTTTGCGTAAGAAAATCTTTTTCATTAACTTCTTCTACTTGTAAATATCGTTCACCATCAATATTAGTCCAATATTTATTTATTGGTAAAATTCGTTGTTCAGTGTCCATTTCATTTTCAATTGCAAATACAATACGTGCTCGTTCTAAATGCCTATTTATTAAAAAATAAAATTTTATAATAAAAATTCAAATTTGTTTTTTTTTCTTTTACTAACCATACTTGTGTTGCATCTTCAATAATATTTCCATATGTATCACCCATCATAGCAACAAGTAAATTAAGTAATAAAATTGTTACAACAATTATATAAAAAATAAGAATTAATACATTTATATATGCATATTCTGTACTTGTATAAGCATCAAGATCAAAATCTCCTAACATGCCTAAAAAACATTGTTTAACACTAATAACAAAACCAAGAAAACCTAAAATAATACAAGACAAAAAAAAAATTAAAATTTTTTGTTGTTATTATTTTCTTCTTACCATTATAATTAAATAAAATGAAAAATGTTTGTGAAAATCCTACAAGAAATACAACATAAATAATACAAAATCGAAGAACATCATTTAATAGCATTTCATATATCATCACAACAAATGGACCAGTTAATCGAAATGCCATAACAAAAAAAAGCATATAACCCCAACCAAGTAATGATGCTATTGCTAATGCTGGTAATTCTGCATTTATATTTAATAATCGAAAAATATTAACAATATAAATAGTTGTACAAAATAAACATGCTAAACAATTTTCAAGAAAACCAGAACCCTATTTATATTTAATATTCAATAATATATATATTTATATAGAAATTTATTTTACCGCTGTTTGAAAATATTTTCGTATACCAATATTATTTATTTCTCGAAATTCAGATTTACCTTTCCATATAGCTCCTGCTAAAACTAATAAACGACCTATTGTACATAATGTTTGACAAATCAATCCTGGTGGTTCAACACTTATTGTTACTTCTTCATCACCTTCACCTTCAGTCTACAAAATAAACAAAAATTTATTACATGAAAAATAACTTTTCGGCAGTGTCACATATCCAAAATTTTGGAGATGCATCCACGTCTAGCACGAGAGATGCGGCAACTCCTGCGAGAGATATGGGCGCATCTCTAAAATGTTGGATATGTGACATTACTCGAATTACTATAGTAAAAGAAAAAAGATATATATGTATTACCACTTCTGTTCGTGTTTGATCAAGTATAGTTGTAACAAGAAAGATTAACATATAGCAAAGTGTAATAAGAAATCGATTAAAAAAAATTCTTCTTGCAAAACGTTCCCATTTTTTATTAATTAAATCAATCATACGTGGATGCATAATAAGTTCAACATGAGCATTTTGTACAATTAATTCAAGTGCACAAGGTGGTGTTTCAAGATTCTAAAATATAGAAAAACAAAAAAAAACAGAAAAATATTGTTTTTTTTTTTTTTTATTAATATTTTTTACATCTTCTCGAAAATCTAAATCGACTTGATCAAGTGGATAAAGTACACATGCAACAGGTCCAAAACTCCATTGAGTTATTTTACGTTCTTCAAGTAAAAATGAAAACATATCAGCTTGTCCTAATTTAGCAGCTAATGTTAATGGTGTATAACCATCTTTATTTAAACGTTTCCATAATGGTGTAATACGTTTTTTCTCTGATTGAAAATATTCATCATCATCATCATCATCATCATCAACATTTGATTCATTTTCTGGTCCTTGTTCTTCTAACCAACGTTGTTTAAATGTAGTATACATTTCAGGTAAATTATGAATCACAAGTAAATGTAATACATTGTTTCCGTTTGAGTCAACCTATGTGATTTATATATTTAGAAAAAGCAAATAATAATATAAATATAACAAACCGCATCCATAGAAGCACCATATTTAAGTAAAATTTCTGCTATATTCCATTGATTTGTACAACAAGCAAATGCTAATGGAGTTTCACCATAATAACATGGTCGACCACTAATGAAAAATTTTTTATAATCTATATTCATTTGTAAAAAATAAAAACAAAAAAAACCATACACTTTAAAAAAATTTCCACTAGCAGCTGCTGTTAATTGTTGTTCTATATAGTCTTTATTATGTTCATAACCTAATAACCATTCAACCATAGTTGGATTTCGTTTAATAATTGCAATATGAAGAGGCATTTCACCATAGTATTCCTTTAAAAGAAAAAAAAAACATAAAGAAATAAAAATTTTTTTTTTTTGTTTTTAAATTTACAGCTTGATTATAGATTTGTGTTATTGTATATGGAAAATTTGTAATTACATATCGAGCCATATTAAGATGAGATTCAGTTCCATATAAAAATAACATATGAATAGGACATTCTCCAACAGGACCACGTGCATCAGCATGATTTGGATTATCATTAAGAAGACGTTTTAATGCAGGTTCATCTGCTTTACGTACAGCTTCCCATATAGTTCCACCTTTACGTGAATTTTCTGTTTGTCGTTCGACTGCTGATAATTCTGATTCATCATTGTCTGTTGATTTTTTAAAACTATTTCTTTTTCTTGAAACACGACCGATTAAATTAGTCCAAATAGATGATAGAAATGATGGTGAATCATTTGATTGATCAATCATGATTATAAAATATACACTTGTTATTATTGTAAATAGTTATTGTCGATTGAAATGATCAATATGAATAGACTGATTTACTTTTCTTTCTTTTTTTCTTTTTTTACTATTCTTTGATTTGTTGCTTGCCTATTTGACTTCTGTTTTGTACATTTTATTTATATCATCATTCACGTTGATCAATAGAGCGGAAACTAAAATGAAACCTACCTCGTTTTGAAGGACAAAAATAATATGGATGATTGGAATATAAATATGTTAATAAAATCATATTTGTTTTTTTTAATTAAAATTTTATAAAATTAATATTTCAATTCTCATCAACTCTATCAATAGATGCATATATATATATGTATTCATTTTTGTTTATATACGTATATAATTTCAATCATGGACATCTCAAGGTCTATTCTTTTTTTTTTCTTTGTGATACATTGTATTATATTTTTCTTTCTGTAAACAAGTGTATTCTCTCTTTATAAATTTTGCTTCTCCACCTACGATGTATGATACTTATGATAATAAAAGAAAGAGTAATATATGCATTATCGAAAATAATACGCGAAAACAAGTTATTGCAATCTTAGATAAATACGATAGATTTAAATATATCTTTTTTTTATAAAACATTTTCTGTAAAATAAAGTTGATATATTATTCGTAATTCAAAAAACAAAAAAGAAAACAATTATACAAATGCTCTATCCATCATCAGCAGGACATCAACAATTCAATCCAATGTATAATCAATCACGATCACAACCAATGACTTATAATAATAATACTCAATTTTCTTCTCAACAATATCCTGTAAATTATTCAACATCATCTACTGATTATACTAGTATAATTTTTAATCAATCAAAAACTATTTCAACAGATGAATTAATACCTTTACTTGATAAATTAACACGTCAATTAAAACATACTCGTAGTGAACAACGTCTTGGAAAACTTAATGATATTATTTATGCACTTATACCTGTTCGTCCATCAATATTAGTATCAGTTGCTCATCATAAATTATTTATTCATATAGAAGCACCATTTAGTGAAGTTATTCAACAATGGTCTAATAAATCTAAATTAAATGATGATCAATCATTTTTATTTCAAATTACACCTAAATTATTAAAAAAAATCTTTAAGAATAGTAATGAAACTGATTTTTATCCATCATGGTTATTTGATTCATCATTTATTGAAATTATTCGTGATTGTCTAACAAATATATCAAAACCAAATAAATATATTATTGACAATAATCAAGATGAAACAAAAAATTTTATACGTTTATTTACTATTTATAGTGATTATCAAGAAAGATTAAATGAAAAAGAATATTCTAATCAAGATGTATTAATTGAGCTTATGGATCCTATTATGAATTGTCTTTCTTCACAAGATTATATTGATTCATTTGATATAACGAATATAAACAAAAAAAAAATTGGACAAAAAGAAAAATTTTTTTTGTTAAAATGTCCATCATTTTTTCTATCTTATCGTGGTACGATTCTTTTTTTTTTTATTTTATTAATAATACACATTTATAAATGTTTATTTGTTTTTTTTTAGGTTCTCGTATTGATCAAATAATGAATAATTTACTTTCAACAATGTTACCTCAATATACTAATATATTACGAAATATAATTCCATCTATAAATCAATGGAATAATTCAACTATTCGAGCTGTTGATTATCTATTACAAATAGTTGATCGTGGATCAACAAATGTAGAATATATTAGTAGTCATCTACCTTTTATTGATTATATATTAACTATAATTGATTCACAAATATTATATACCAATCTTGATGAAACATTATCTAATTCAGAGACAAATTTAATGAATACAGCTATTAGTTTTCTTAGTAAAATAGTTAATGAACCAACAATTTTAGGTTATATCAAAAAAAAACAAGTAACACCTTCATTTCTTCGTTTAACATCTGCTAAATATAAACCATTACAATATAATGTTTATACACTTCTTTCTAATATAACAAGTGAAAATGATATTAAATCAATGCCTAATCCAGGTGCATTACTATCAACAACACTTAATTTATTAAGAGCTACAATTCATGATAAAAATGAGGATCCTCAGCAAACTGAACAATTACTTGAAACACTTAAAGGTAAATTAAATTAAACAATAATAAATGAATAAATAATATTTTCATTTTCTTTTCTCAAGGTCTTGTTCAACATGATCAAATGAAAGAGGAATTACTTAAACAAAATGGACTTCCATTTCTTCTTGACTGTGCACATGATTTCATTGATGTAAAATTGAAATTATTATTAGAAACTTTATGGTCTTTATCATTTTCTCAAGATGCAGCAGTTGCACTTCGATCAAATACTGAACTTATACAAAGAATTGAAAATGTATCACAAACTGCTCATGATGAAGCTATGAAAAAAGCATCTGAAGGACTTACTTGGAAACTAGTAAAAGGTACCTTAAAATAATTTTATAATTTTTTCAGGATTTTAGCTAAAGAAAGGGTTCCTATGGACATCTTCCTGGTCCAAATAATAGTTGAAGGAGAATATAGATAACATATTTTATTGTGAAGTCAAAATACTTTTTCTCTTGTTAAGCATCTTCCTGAGAAAATTCTTGATTACGAATCTGAATTATTTAACAATAATATATTTAAATATATATATATATATGTATTTTTTAGAACCAGTACTTTTGGAAAAAGTTGCAAAAAAACAACAAGAAGATAAAAATGCTACTACTATGATTGAAACAACCGAAACCATCATTGGTGCAGATGGAAAAGAAAAAGTTATAATTAAAAAAGTACCAGTTAGTACTCAACCAGTCGAACGAACATTTGACTATGATATGATGATTTCTTATTGTCATGCTGATAAAGATTTAGTATATAAAATTCATCAATTTCTTAAAGATCAAGGTTTTAAAATTTGGATTGATCTTAACAATATGTTTGGTCCAGGTAAAAGAAAATAGATTATTTTTTCTTCTTTTTTTTTGCTCTAAATAAATATACTATAATATTAATTTTTAGCAATGAATGCTATGGCTGAAGCTGTTGAAAATTCTGAATTTGTGATTATGTGTATGTCAGAATCATATAAAAAAAGTACATATTGTCAAGCTGAAGCTGAATATGCATTTAATTGTAAACGACGTTTAGTTCCATTAATTGTTCGACCAGAATATAAAGCAGATGGTTGGTTAGGATTTATGATTGGTTCACGAATATATGTTGATTTTGGTCGTTTTGATTTTAATACAGCATGTGAAAAATTAATGAATGAAATTAATCTACAAAAACAAAAAGCACTTCCACCTAAACCAATTCAAGTTGTTCAACAAGAAAAACCAGTAGAAATAATAAAGTTTGCAGCACCACCACCACCACCACCTCCGCCACCACCACCGCCACCACCAAAACCTCGTAAATTATCAGATATATATACAAAAAGAATAATAAGTTCAAATTTTAAAAAACGACCTATTTACAATTGGACAGAATCAGATGTATTCGATTTTCTTTTTGATCAACAGTTAAATGAACTTATGCCTCTATGTGAAAAAATGGATGGTCAAGCATTAGTACAATTATACAAAATGTGTGCAGCACAACGTAATGAAACATATGTTTTACTCAATAATGAACTTCAATCAACAAAAGAAATAAAATTACCTATTGGAGTTTATGTACGATTTTTAAGTATTATGGAACGTATAAGTACATTTGTGCCAATAGAAATTCCTGTTCTTCCACCAATCGAGGAATATCCTATTTATCCATCTATTCCATATTTGAATCAACCCTGTGATATTGTTATTACTTCGAATGCTTCTCCATTACAAATATTACAAATGCTTCATAATTTTATTCCTTCAATAAAATCAAAATCTTATTCAAAAGAGCTCATATAAACGTCAAACTTAAGAATTATTTTTTAACATTACATATTTTATTTATAGTTAAAATATCAGAAGAAAAAGACTTCGAATAGATTATTTCAACGAAAAAACTTTTTTTTTGTTTCGTTTTTTTTAATTTATTGTAGAACAGAAAATTATAAAATTCATGTCTAGCAAATAGATTTTTTATCTATTGTTATGTTTTTTCCCTTTTGTTATTATCGTAAACAGCAAGGGGGAAACGGCAGACTTGAAGTAGAAAAGTACGCCAAAGTAGACTACTTGAAGTAGCTCAAAGTACCATTCAAGTAGTCCAAAGTAGGAACAAGTAGCTTAAAGTAACTTCAAGTCCAAAAGTTCGCTGTTTCCCCCTTGGTAAACATATTAAAATTAAAAAATAATTTATTTTTTTTTAAATAGTTGTTTGACAACAAACAATTATCACTATTATTTTCTTTTGTTAACTAATAGATTATGTAGAATTATACAAAAACAAAAGGATTTATGAAATAAAGCTTATTCAAATAATGAAAAATTATTATTTTAATAAAAACAAATACCAATATATTATCTATTGATGTAGACAATTATTAATAATATAAAAACAATATATTTCATTGTTTTAATTAAGTTAAGTATATTATGAAATTGAATAAATGAACAATTATATAGACAAAGAAAATTAATCATTAAAAATAAAATATTTTTGCATGTATTATAACATTTGTTTTATGTCAATGTTATTTGTTTTTGAAATATGATAAATTATTAAATATGTATTAGTATTTAATCAAGTAAGGTTTCATTGCTCAAGGCTAAATCAAGGACGAATAATAGTTTCACGCATGATTGATTAATAATTTAGTAATTGATGATAAAAAATATTACCTATCGAATAATCTGAAGAGAATGAATCTTTCACTATTTTAATGACATTTCTCTTAATTCATATTTTTTAACAAAGTTCGTAACTATTTTCGAAAAGAGGACACTAAAAATAATGTTGTTAAAACAAAAAAAAAAACTTTCTCTCTTTTTATTGACAAGTATCATTAGCCATCGAATAGTTCACATTCAAGGAAA